AAGGGACTTACCTCAAGAATCTCCTTAAAACCCTCTCAAAAATCGCCTTAGACCGAGCTTGAAAGCTCCAAAATGAAGAAAAATCGCGAACCCTTGAATTTTTATGTTCTACCTAGTCTTTCCGCTTCTACGGCGTCGCAGAAGCGACCTCTCAACCGCATATGTGGCTCCTTCCGCTTCTGCAGTCCCTCAACTCGCTCCTGCGAACTCGCTTCTACAAGCGACCAATCCGCTTCTGCGGAACCAGCTCCTCTCTCAACTTCTGCTTCTGCGTTTTCATCGATGCAGACCCCTCCAAAATCTGCACATGTGCAACCCAACCCGCACTTGTGAGCTCGCACCTGCGATCATAGCTCCGCAGGTGCGGTTACACCAGCAGAGTTCCAACTTCAGCAGTCACACAACTTCAACTTTTGATCTGTTAACCATCCGGAATAACCCGAGGCCCCCGGGACCTCAATCAAACATACGAACAAGTCTTAAAACATCATACAAACTTAGTCGAGCCTTCAAATAACATCAAACAACACCAAAAATACGAATCGCACCCCAATTCAAGCCTAATGAACTTTGAACTTCCAATATCTATAAACGACGCCGAAACCTATCAAATCACATCCGATTGACCGCAAATTTTGCACACAAGTCACAAATGACACCACGGACCTGCTCCAACTCTCGGAATCTCAATCCGACCCCGATATCAAAAAGTCCACTCCCGGTCAAACTTTTCAAATTTCCAACTTTTGCTATTTCAAGCCTAATTCAACTACGGACCTTCAAATCACAATCCGGACACGCTCCTGTGTCCAAAATCATCCAATGAAGCTAACAGAACCATCAAAACTCCATTCCGGAGTCGTTTACACATAAGTCAACATCTGGTCAACCCATTCAACTTAAGCTTTCAACCTTGAGACTAAGTGTCTAAATTTATTTCGAGATCCCTCCAGACCCGAAGTGACTAACCTGGCAAGTCATATAATAACTGTAAAGCACACAATTAGAATAGAATGGGAGAATGGAGCTACAACTGTCAAAATGACCGGCCGGGTTGTTATAGTATATGATCATTGATCAAAGGATTGTAAATGAACGAATGGACAAGCTCATCAAGGTCGTAGCCCCTTACTTTTCTTCCTGCCCAGTGATCCATATATTTCACTCCTTCCAAATTCCCTCGAATTCCTATCTTCTTTTGATCCCTATGTTTGATGATATTGGTACTTTAGTTGTTTAAATTGTCATATTCTGTATTGCTGAAACTATTGTGCTTTGTTATAATTACTCTACTATGGTTAATCACTCTATTTTGTGCAATGACATTCACTTGTTGTTCTTGTTATTGTTTATGTTGTGTTGCCCAAGTGGCGTGATTTAATGTTCCTGAACTTCTTTTTGGTTGTGCTTCATCTGTTATTTTCTTCAATGATGACAAAAGGGAAACGTTACATAAGTGTCAACAAACGGAGGAACATAATCGAATATATGTTGTGTTGTGCATAAAAGATAGCTCTGCTTTGCAAGGGAAACGTTTTTGCTAACATGTTGATTATAGGTTTGATCTGTAGGGGAATATGTGAGGAATCTGGTTCTTAGGGGGAACATCAATTTTGGGTTTGTCATCATCAAAAAGGGGAAAACTGCTCTAAGTTATGCTATTTCGTGTTTTGATGATTTGCCAAATGTTCTCGAGGAACCAGATAGGGACCAGATGTGATCAGTACATGTAAAGAATCTGATTCTCATAGGGAATATCAATTCTGGGTTTGTCATCATCAAAAAAGGGGGAAATTGATATGTTATGTGTCCTTTGTTTTGATGATTTCACAAACCTCATGACAGAACTAGATAAGGAACCTGATACAATTAGTTCTCTCGCGTTCAGAGTAACTAGTCAGATGTCTTGTTCAGTTCTTAATGAAACCAGATAAGGGAACAGCAGAGGGAACAGATGGGGATCAGTTCCCCTGATCGTCGCACATTCAACTCTACAGCTGTAAAAGTTGTTGCACTATACTGTCTGGTAGCAGTATAGCAGCACAGCTGTAGCTTGCTAAGGCCAAACTAAAGGACACTTCATTGCATCATCCTTGATGACCTCACACACACATATTATCAACATGAGGCAAGGGATTTCATTTCTCTAACACTTGCAAATCCAAAAATTATATTCTCTCAAGTGCTAGCCTCCACCTCTCTCAAGAACAAAGTTGTTGCAACCTCAAGGACCAAATCCAAAGATTGAAGATATCTTAAGTTCTTAGATTTATTGAGTCTTTGTTATTTTGTTCTTCATTTTTAATCCTACACTACTTTCAAGAAGTGTCTTTGTAGGATAGATTTTAACCAATGTTTGGTTTAGTTTCTTGACTAGAGTTAGTCAAGGGATGTTGCTTTGTAATAGAGTTATTGCAAAGGGCTTACAGTAGAGTTATTATAAGGGGTGAGGGATTAAGAGTTTAATTCCTAGATTGACATACGTTGTAATCTGAAGTTTGCTTGGTTTAATGGAGTTGAAATCCTACTAGGGTAGGTCGCACTTTTTAATCCCTTGAGCAAGGAGTGATTGTCGCGCCCCTTTTTCTCGCGAAAATGGGTTTTGACACGTGATAACTCTTTTAAATGGAGGATGTATTAAAAGAGAAGAGTCACCACCTAATGTTTTTAAGGTACGTTAGGGCACCTATCATGCAGATTACTCTGTTTGACTAGTCAATGTCACCAAAGATCGGGTAAGGGCTCAAATTACCTCAAAGAGAAGGTGTTAGGCACTCTTCGAAGTCTACGAAGTCCACAACTGTGGGTCCCGGCCGAACTTAAAGCTATGTGGATTATCATTAGGCTAAGTGATCATATAACAAAGAAATATAAAGGTCGATGAGTTTTATTATAACACACGAGAATCGGTACAAATCTCAATGGCTACAATGATGTACCTACATTGGTTTATGTTAAACGAATAACAAGTATATAAAGGAAAGGGGGGGTCCTAAGTTTTTTAGCCTAAAGGATCACCCCGTGCAACATAAATAATACTTCGCAACTCCCTTAAGATAGGGGTTGCTCATATTATTCAGCGGGCACAGACTATAATCTCCTGCTACCCAATTACTATGTTAAAGTTGTTTACTTAAAGGCGCTCTAATTCAATTCTAAATCGTACCCTATGCGTGCAATACCCGTCCCATGCCTATGGTCCAGGAGGCTTTGGACCTGTATTGGGTGGTTCTAGACTTACTTAGGCTGCTCAAAATGGATAAAACTAGGCGACATTCAAACAAATAGGACTTCATGTAAAGATAATTAAAGGCCCAAGTTAGCCTCCATACATAAACAACGAATGCACGCGAGCAGTTCAGGAAATAGACAGGGTTCAGACGTATTAGAGTCATTAAATTCTATATGCATGATTTCTATATGGTTCTAATATTAACAGGTAATGCTGCATTACCTATGCTAATGTACGGGCAGATTAGATCGTTATGAGTCCTATAGACATGGTCTTTAAATGATTCTGACTTCCAGCATTATATATAAGTAGTGTTCAGGCGAATTGCAAATCCTATAGGCATGATCTGTAAGCAATTCTGGATTCTAATAGTATATGGACAGTGCAACAATTACTGGATTGGTGCGCATAGGCAAATTGAATGTTGCAAGTCCTATAGGCATAATATCTAATCATTTTATGTAAAAAGTTGGTGAAAACAGTCGTAGTTCTGAGTTATTAATGCTGGTTTTATAGGCATGAATCTTAAACGGATGACAGTGTAATAGAGAAAAACACTGGGAACAATTGATTAGAACATTAGAGACCTATAGCCATGATATCTAGATAAGCATCATACTAAAATGATTGAAGCAATTGATAGATTGATTATTTTTTTGAAGTCATATGGGCATGGCATCTAGATGAGTGAAACATTGCATCACAGCGCCCTAAGACAGGTCATCTAAAAGTGCTGGATAGTAGACGTGGAAACAGATATAGCAAACGCTGGCATTAACATGTCTTGGCAGATTAAGTGAAGTGTGTGCGGGATTCCTATAGGCATGATGTCTATCAGTGTACATAACATGCTAAGCAAAAACAACAAATAGAGCACATAGGTCCTATAGGCATGCTTTCTACCCATTTGTGTGAGAATTAGAATACCCTACCCCATTTTTACTAATTTCCCCCATCTGTTCCGTTTATAAATTATTACAGACCAAAAATTAATGAATACAGGTGCGAATTTTACATATTAAAAGATTACAGGCCCGGTATACATAGCAGGCCCAAAAGACTATAACTCAGTAAAGCCTGGGCTTCAGCAGGCTCGTTCCTCATACGTACAGCAAACCCAAATCCAAATACACCCCAAACCTCAGTATATATCAATTGCTCAACTCAAACTCACACAAGGATCCACACTAGGCCCATAAGGAAGACCTTCTTACCCAGCAATGGCGGATGAACAACTTAACCACACAAATTAACAAACTACGCATGACAACTAATTAAACAGCTCTGAATACTACTAACAGCAGTTCTCACTAGGACATAGATACAGAATCATAAACATATTGACAGGACTCACATAAGGCATATTGGAATGCATTTTAGAAACAAAGGGCTTTGAACATGAAAGCTAGGAGAATCAGTAGAGCTCTTTAACATGGTGAGTTTGACATAGAAAACTAACAACATAGGTTCATGATTGAGTATTTATTCAACAGAGGAGAGGGTGTAGCATGCTGAACACAGTTACACACTAAGAAGGTTGAGAAAAGCAAGTTCATTGAGTTTACAGGACAAACACACACATACTAATTTCCCAGCAATCAAGACATTAACCAAAATGGGTCAAAGATAGATTTTGAACAAGTGATTCTTATTCGAAGCAGTTTTTGTCAGATGGATATGCAGTCTACATGAAGGTGACCACAAGCAGCATGGCAATACTAATAGAAATGGCCTATTATAAACCTCAGCAGTGTCCTAAACCATGAGATCATGCAGCACTTAAAAGGGAATGAGACAAGCCAGGATTGTGCTTGTATTGCTCATGTTTCGCGAGTGGACAGTCTTTGACGAAATGCCCTGGCTTTCCACATCCGTGACAGAGATCGTTGTTCCTTGTTTTGCTTGAACTGCCCCACTTTGGTATACCACCGTTTCTTCGAACCATTTTTTGGAATCTCTTAGTGAGATAGGCCATGTCACTATCTTTATCACTTGAATCACTCCTTTCAGCTTTAAGCACCAGGTTCTTCTCTTTCTTAGGCTCTCTTCGTTCATCGTCCTTCTTTCTCTTCATCTCATATGTTTTCAGATTACCAATCAACTCATCCATGATCAGAGTCTGTAGATCTTTAGCTTCCGTAATGGAATTCACCTTACTTTCCCAAGACCCAGGTAGAACACTGAGAATTTTTCTGACAAGCTTGTTTCTAGGAATGACATCTCCAAGCGAATGAAGCTCATTTATGATGGAGGTGAATCTGATATGCATGTCTTGTATGGATTCATCATCCTTCATCCTGAACAGCTCATATTCTGTGGTGAGCATGTCGATTTTGGATTGCTTGACCTGGGTGGTTCCTTTATGAGCGATTTGCAATGCCTCCCATATTTCTTTGGCAGTTTCACAAGCTGAGACTCTGTTGTACTCATCAGGTTCTATGCCACACATCAAGATCTTCTTGGCACGGTAGTTCTTTTCTATAGCTTTTCTGTCAATGTCATTGTACTCTCTTCTTTCTTTAGGCACCAGTTTCTCTGTCTCTTCAATCTTTTTCATGGGAACATGTGGACCATCACATATGATGTCCCATAACTCTGAATCTTCTGCCATAATGAAATCATGCATCCTGGTCTTCCACCAGCCATAGTATTGACCATTGAATCTAGGAGGTCTATAGGTTGATTGTCCTTCTTCAAAGCTTGGTGGGGAGGCCATTGAGGATTTCTCCTAGGTGTTAGCCTGATAGGAGAAACCTGCTCTGATACCAATTGTTAGCCTGTATGAGTTCGCCAACCTATAGAGTACCTGGTCCTCTATGAGACTGATACGTTGAAAGCTGTAAAGACTGAATGTTAAGGAGGCCAGAGGTTTTTCTACGTGGAAACATCCCACACAAGGGGATCAAAAAACCACGACCTACACCACTAGGCTTTAAACTCAGCTAACTTGTAATCTACTTATTACAAGCCACTTTGCAAACTCCCTTTTGCAAAGACTTCAAACTAACTTGTGATGCACCACCACAAGCCACTCTCTAACTCTCCTAGTTATAGAGGATTCAACTTATGACTATTCCTAGTCACAACGCAAACTCAAAAGTTTATGGATTTGGTTTGTTCCTAAAATAGTGCTTCTAAGAAAGCAAAATAGGAATTATAATGTAAAGCAAATAACAAGATTACAACTCAACTATGGATATACATAAGACTTCGTTTAAAAACTGATCCTTTGTGGAGTTGTCTTCTTGTTCTTGACATACCGGTGATTTTAATGCTGGATAGATGCTTCTTCTTCTTGAGAGAGTATCACTGAAATGCACAAGAACTGGTGTGTCTTGCACCAGGTTGTTTTATCACAAAAGATATCACAATTAGATAGTGGTGTCAACTCTTGGTGTACTTCTTGTTAGTGTGAAGTGACTGCTGCACTATCTGCACAACCATTTCTAGGCAGGTGCGTTCCAGCTGGATAGTGGGCTTTGTACTTCCTGTCAGGATACACCAACAGACCAAGTCCTAGTTGTGTACACACCAGCAGACCAGGCCCTCGTTGTGTTCCTCTTCTGTAGCAACTGCCAGATGATCACTTTCTTCTGTCATATTCCAGCTGTGTACCTGACTTGTACTTTCTGTTAGAGAACCCTGAAGCAGCAGGTCCCTGTTGTGTTCCTCTTTATCTTGATTGCGTACAGTCACTGACTTGCTTATGTCAGAGAACCCTAAAGAGCCAGATCATCAGGTCCCTGTTGTGTTTCTCCCTTTGCTGATTTTCAGTCTTAGATTAGTTTACATGAAATGTATGTCCTGTGCGCCAGGTGCTCTATCTGGTTCTTCATGACAAGTTTGTTAGATCATCATAAACATAAAATACTAAAAAACCCATCATAAAGGAATTTGATTTATCCCTTTGCCTATAGAAAGGGACCCAAACTAGTTTGGGTTCCTAAGACTAACCCTTGATTTCTTTTTTTTGGCAGGCCCAAGTGAAGGTAAGTAACCAAGTATGGTACATGGATAGTGGCTGCTCAAAAACATATGACTGGAAGCAAGAACCAGTTCCTTTCACTTGAGAACTTAAAGGGAGGTAATGTCTCCTTTGGAAATGGGAAGAAATGTGAGATTATTGGGGTTGGAAAGGTAGGTAAGACAGACTCACACTCCATTGAGAATGTCTACTTGATAGATGGCTTGAAATACAGCCTGATCAGTGTGTCACAACTGTGTGACAGAGGTAACCTTGTAGCATTCACCTCTACAAAATGCTTTGTGATTAACCTTACCACTAACGAGATTGTTTTGTAGGGAAAAAGAGTGAACAATATTTACATTGTAGATTTGTCTACTCTTTCAGAAAATGAACTCACATGCCCAAGTGTGTTGGATAATGATCCCCTCCTATGGCACAAAAGACTTGGTCATGCTAGTCTGAATCAGCTAAACAAATTAGTCTCTAAGGACTTGGTGATGGGCTACCTAACATCAAGTTTAAGGAAGACAAAGTTTGTGAGGCTTGTGCAAGGGGGAAGCAGGTAAGATCATCCTTCAAAAACAAGAAAATGGTAAGCACAACCAAGTCGTTGGAATTGGTTCACATGGATCTCTGTGATCCAATGAGATCCTTGAGCAGAGGTGGAAAGAAATATGTGATGGTGCTAGTCGATGATTATTCTAGATTTACCTGGGTACTATTCTTAACATCTAAAGATGAAGCATTTGACATGTTTACTGCTTTTGTTAGGAAAACTCAGAAACAACTAGGTAATCAACTTGCATCCATAAGGTCTGATCATGGAACTGAATTTGAAAATGCTAAGTTTGCTGAATTTTGTGACGAGCATGGTATAGATCATAACTTCTCTGCCCCTAGGACTCCTCAACAAAATGGAGTGGTTGAAAAAAAGAATAGGACCCTTGAGGACATGGCTAGGACTATGCTTCTTTCTAGTAAACTGCCCCACAGCTTCTGGGCAGAGGCTGTAAACACTGCATGTTACGTTATCAATAGATGCATGACTCGACCTCTTGTAGAGAAGACTCCCTATGAGTTACTTAAAGGGAGAAAACCAAATACATCCCATCTTAGGGCATTTGGATGCAAGTGCTTTGTGCAAAATAATGAAAAAGACTCCCTAGGTAAGTTTGATCCCAGAAGTGATGAGGGAGTATTCTTGGGATATTCTTCACATAGCAAAGCATATAAAGTGTTCAATAAAAGAACTTTGTGTGTAGAAGAAAGTGTGCATATAGTGTTTGATGAAACTAACATTCTTTCTGAGAGACAGGAACATGAAGATGAAGCCATTGGACTGGTAAAGGACTTGACTGAAGTCTCAGCACAAGTTAAAGTGGCACCAAAAGAAGGAACATGTGATGGAACAGGTTCTCCCATCCAGGGCAACCTGACAGGGGGAACTAATCAAAGAGGAATTGAAACTAATTCCCTAAAATAACCTCTTCATGACCCTGTTCCTCAGCAACAGAACATGGGAGAAACATCTAGCAGAAATTAGTTGGTTGTGAAACCTCACAAGTATCAAAGTTCTCATCCTATTGAGAACATAATCACTGATCCAACATCTGGAGTCAAAACTAGATCACAATTAAAAAATCTGTGTGCTTTTGATGCCTTCCTATCTATTATTGAACCTAAAAATATTGTTGAGGCTTTGCAGGATGCAGATTGGGTGAATGCAATGCACGATGAACTCAATCAGTTCAAAAGAAGTCAAGTTTGGCATCTAGTTCCAAGACCCAAGGACAGATCAGTTATTGGCACAAAATGGGTCTTCAGAAACAAACTTGATGAAGATGGAACAGTTACAAGAAACAAGGCAAGACTGGTGGTCCAAGGTTACAGCCAAGAGGAGGGTATAGATTATGATGAGACCTTTGCTCCAGTTGCAAGACTAGAGGCAATAAGACTCCTCATAGCCTTTGCAACACACATGGAATTCACTCTCCATCAGATGGATGTCAAAAGTGCCTTCCTGAAGAGCTACCTAAAAGAAGAAGTGTTGTGAAACAACCTCCAGGGTTTGAGAGCAAGGACTGTCCTGAGCATGTGTACAAATTAGACAAGGCTCTCTATGGACTCAAGCAGGCTCCTAGAGCATGGTATGAACGATTGTCCAAATTCCTGCTTGAACATGGCTATAAAAGAGGTAAAATTGACAGTACCCTATTCTTAAGGGAAAAAAGGTAAGGATCTCCTTGTGGTACAAATATATGTTGATGACATAATCTTTGGGGCCACCACTGATAAACTAAGCAAGGATTTTGCAAAATTAATGGGGAGTGAGTTTGAAATGAGTATGATGGGTGAGCTTAATTTTATCTTAGGCTTACAGATCAAACAAAGCCCAAATGGAACCATGATCCATCAGCAGAAGTATGCAAAAGAGCTGATTAACAAGTTTAAAATGGATGAATCAAAGGAAATAGACACCCCCATTGCAACTGCCACTAAATTAGACATTGATGAACCTGGTTCATCAGTTGATCAGAAGTTGTATAGGGGTATGATTGGTTCACTCTGGTATCTTACTGCTAGCAGACCTGATGTTGTTTTCAATATAGGGCTTTGTGCTCGCTTTCAGGCTAATCCAAAAGAGTCTCACTTGACTGCTGTCAAGAGGATACTAAGATATTTGAAAGGCACCACTGATCTGTGTCTTTGGTATCCCAAAGGGAGTAATTTCAATCTAGTAGGATATGTTGATGCCGATTATGCAGGTTTCCTTGTTGATAGGAAAAGCACCTGAGGTATGGCTCACTTTCTTGGTTCATGTCTTGTATCATGGGCCACTAAAAAGCAAAATTCAGTGGCCTTATCCACTGCTGAGGCTGAGTATGTTGCTACTGCATCTTGTTGTGCTCAATTGCTATGGATCAAACAGCAGCTGGTAGATTTTGGTATTGAAATTGGCTGCATTCCTATATTCTGTGATAACACTAGTGCTATAAGTATGACAAAGAACCCTGTTCATCATAAGAGGACTAAGCACATAGATGTTAGACACCACTTCTTGAGAGATAACTATGAGAAAGGATTGATCTCCATAGAATTTTATGCTACTGATAAACAAATTGCTGACATCTTCACTAAAGCACTGAGTAGAGAAAACTTTGAGAGGAACAGGTTGGAATTAGGGATGATTAAGATCACCTAATAGGATCAGCTTAGAATGCACAATGGAAAAAAAATATGAAAAAAAAAATTTTTGGCTAGGAACTTTGAACTGGTGTAACTATCTAGATTAATTCTTACTCAGCTTCATACTTTAATTAGTATACTCCTGTGACATGTGTTTATATGACTCACTGATCTCTTACAAAATTTCTCTATTATGGCATTTGAGGCATGTTCAAAAGAGTTCTAAATGAAGAACCTGGTTCATCAATATGGGTTCATATGAAAGCTAAGGTATGTTTTCTATGCTCTGCACAATTAGAAAGATTAATATTTCAATCATGAGCAGAAGTCCTATAAATGTTCAATTCCTAGAAAATTCTATCCGCTAGCATTGAACAAGTTTCGTCCGCCTAGAACTCTAAGCCGTAAATTTAGCCTAATATCTAGGGAAGCCAAATCGATCATTCAAAATCTGGAAT